GCGTAACCAGAAGGTGCACTGGGTATACCGCCTGGGGGGCGCAGGCCCCGCGACCCTCAGCATCGACGAGAACATTGGGGAGGAATTTGCAGCCATCAGCCTTGAGAGGTGGGAGGCCTGCCCCGCGCTCCCCCGCCCCCTGGCAGGCTGCACGTCCGCTCCAACCCCTTCGCTCTGCCCTCAGGACCCTACAGTTTGGCCACATGTCTGTCACTGTGGAGAAACAGATGAGCCACGAGACCAAGGGCGACACAGTGGCCCCTGGGCCCGAGGGGCTACTCAGCCTGCAGCCTGACGACTTTGTCTTCTATGTGGGCGGCTACCCCAGCAACTTCACGGTGAGCCTGGCAGGGCCTGCCCCTCGGCCACCCCTCTGCACTCTTGTCCCAGCGAGTCCTGCTGGGCTTCTGGCTTCAGTGGGTCTGCGCAGCCTGAGCCCCTCCTCTGGGGCCTGCCTTGGGCGGGGAGGCGCCCTGACCAGGTGCTGTGCCCGCAGCCCCCGGAGCCCCTCCGCTTCCCCCGCTACCGGGGCTGCATTGAGATGGGCACGCTCAACGAGGCGGTGGTCAGTCTCTACAACTTCGAGAAGACCTTCCAGCTCAACACAGCTGTGGATAAGCCTTGTGCACGGTATGTGCGGCCTGGGCCCGCCCTTCTCCCTCCTCGGCCCACTCCCCACTGACTGTGACCTCTGACCTGCAGCACCAAGTCGACTGGAGACCCGTGGCTCACAGACGGCTCCTACCTGGAGGGCTCTGGCTTTGCCCGCATCCGAGTGGAGAGTCAGATCAGCAGCACCAAGCGCTTCGAGCAGGAGCTGCGGCTGGTGTCCTACAGGGGGATCATCTTCTTCCTGCAGCACCAGGCGAGCCCGCCGCCTGTGGGCAGGGCGAGGCGGGGCTGGGCTGGCAGCAGGAACACCGCAGGTGCTAAGGATCCCTGACCTGCCATCAGATCCAGGTGTTCCTGTTGGGGGACAGCCGCAAGCGCGTGCTGGTGCGCGTGGAGAGGGCCACTGTGTTCAGTATGGAGCAGGAGAATGTACTGGAGCTGGCCAACGCCTACTACTTGGGGGGTGCGCCTCCGGACCAGCTGCCCCCGAGGTGAGCACACGCAGGGCAGGCAGGGTCCCCCGCTGTCTCAGCCACACCCAGCCCCCCTTCCCTCCCCAAGGCCAGTGCCCCAATACTTGTTTGCCCGACAGCCTGCGCCAGCTCTTCCCATCCGGAGGCTCCGTGCGTGGCTGCATCAAGGGCATCAAAGCTCTGGGCAAGTATGTGGATCTCAAGCGGCTGAACACCACGGGCATCAGTGCCGGCTGCACCGCGGACTTGCTGGTGAGCCCCCCACCCACTCCAGCCAGCAGCCCCCTCTCCAGCAGGCTTGCTGGGGCCCTCACAGTCCACTCCTTGTAGGTGGGACGGGCCATGACGTTCCATGGCCATGGCTTCCTGCCCCTGGAGCTCCCAGATGTGGCCCCCCTCACCAGCAGCGTCTACTCCGGCTTCGGCTTCCGCAGCACCCAGGACAGCGGTCTGCTGTACCACAGAGCGTCCCCGGTGTGTCCACCCAGTCTTGGTCTGACCGCCTGCTGCTCCCCAAGCCTGACCTAGCCCTCCCTCCCCGAGTCTCACCTCTGCCCAGCCCTCCCTGAAACTAACTGCAGCAGAGTGTGGGGCCCACGTGGCTGGAGGAAGTCTGGGCCCCTGGCTTGGTCCGCTGACCTGACCACTGTCCCCAGGTTGGGCCATGTGAGGTGTCCCTGCAGCAGGGCCACGTGACACTCCGGTTTGTGACGACCGAGGTGAAGACGCCAGGGGGCTTTGCTGATGGTTCCCCCCATTACGTCGCTTTCTATAGCAACACCACAGGGTGAGCCGGGGACAGGGTGGGGCGGCAGCGGAGCCGGGGTCTTGGGTGCAGCTGCTGCAGGTGTGTGGACAGGGTGGCGAAACACTGCTCTCCTCACAGGGTCTGGCTCTACGTGGACGACCAGCTTCAGCAGATGAAGCCCCACCAGGGGCCGCCCCCCAGACCCCAGCCACAGCCACAGCCTGAGGGGCCCCATCGGCTCCTCCTGGGAGGCTTGGGGGCGTCCAACACCATCCGTAACTTCAGCGGCTGCATCACCAACGTGTTTGTGCAACGGTGCGCTGAGCGGTGTCGGGGGCTGTGCTGACCCCACCTGCTTGGGTGCCTCCAGCTGCTGACTGCCCTCGCTGTCCTCACAGGCTCATGGGGCCCCAGCGTGTGCTCGACCTGCAGCAGAACGTGGGCGGTATCAACGTGAGCTCAGGGTGTGCCCCAGCAGCCCCTGGCACCCAGACACCAGTGCAGGCACCTCGAGGACTACAGGCCACAGTGGCTCAGAAGGTGGGCACCACAGGCGTTGGGGGAGAGACAAGGGCAGGGGGTGAGGGTAAAGGGCAGGAGGCAGGTGGAGCTGGGGGTGGGCAGAAGATGGCCCTTCAGCACCCCCGCATCCCCATCTGACCCCACAGGTCTCCCGGCACACCCGGCAGCCCACCCAGGACTCCGCCTGCACGCCTCCTCGGCCCCTTGGGACCATCCACGGCACCTACCAGTTTGGAGGTCCCCTGTCCAGTTATCTGGAGTTCACAGCCGTCCTGGCACCCTTTGAGAACTGGTAAGACCGGGCCAGGTGGGGGCGGGGGTGAGGGCTGCCCAGGCTGACACCGTCTGGCTGCTGGCTTCCAGGGCCCACTTCTCCATGGTGGTCCGCCCTCGCACCCGAAGAGGACTCCTGCTCCTCGCCGTGCCCCTGGCGGCGGGCAGCCCCTCCCTGGCGCTCTTCCTGAGCCACAGATACTTTGTGGCTCAGACACAAGGCCCAGGGCCCGAGCTCCGCGTCCTGAGTCACCAGCGTTCAAAAGCTGACCAGTGGCACAAGGTGAGGGACTGAAGAGAGGGGATGTGGGCGGGGCCCTGGGGGCTCCCGCCTGATGTGCCTCTTCCCACCGCCAGGTGTCTGTGCGATGGGAGAGGACTCGGATCCAGCTGCAGGTGGACGGAGTCTGGACTCAGAGCCAGGAGCAGCCTGGCCAGGAGCCTGGCCAGCAGTATCAGGGGGCAGAAGGCCCCCAGCCCTACACGCTCTTTGTGGGGGGTCTTCCTGTCCACGGCCCCAAGCTCCCAGTGAGAACTGCCTCTCCCCCGCATCCCCTGCCCGGTCCCAGCCCAGCCCACCCTCCTCAGCACCCCCTGAACCTGACCCCATGTCCACCCACCTGTGCCCCCACAGATGTTTATCAGCAGCTCCTGGTTCAGCGGTTGTGTGAGGAGACTGATGGTGGACGGGCAGCCCCTGAGTACCCCCAGCCGAATGGTGGGGGTCACACCCTGCTTGTCAGAACCCCTGGAGATGGGTCTGTTCTTTGCCGGCAGTAGGGGAGCCATCACTCTAGGTCTGTCTGCTGTCCCCCACTCCTTGCATGTGCCCTGGGCTGTGGGGTTGAGGGAGCCATGGCCAGGCCCTCGTCCCCTCACAGGCCCTCCCCACAGACACCCTGGGGACCACCCTTCCTGACGTGAGCCTGAGGCTGGAGGTGCGGCCCCAGACAGCCACAGGCCTCATCTTCCACCTGGGCCAGTTCCAGGTGCCCCCCTACCTAGAGCTGCAGGTGCTGGAGAAGCAGGTAAGTCGGGGTGGGGGGTCCATGGCCAAAGGGCAGAATTGGGGTTGGCAGGGCCCTCCTGATGCCCAGCCCCCACCCAGGTCCTGCTGTGGGCAGACGATGGTGCTGGCGAGTTCTCCGCATCAGTGACACTCTCCAAGGAGCTGTGTGACGGGCAGTGGCACCAACTGGCAGGTGAGCTGGGCCCCCTGTCCCACAACCAGAGATACTCCCGACACCCCGCAGCCCTGCTTCTGCAGAGCAGAGAGCCTGGGAGGGACTCGGGAGGACGAAGCTGCAGAGGCCAAACTCCAGGTGGGCCCTCTCGCTCTGCGGCTGCCGAGAGGCCCTCCCAGTCCAGCCACAAGGAGCCTATGTCCCACAGTGACCAAAAGCAGGACCGCCCTCCGGCTGGAGGTGGACTCCCAGAGCAACCAGACCCTGGGTCCCATGCTGCGGGCCTCAGACAGCACCCCAGTGCCTCTGCACTTGGGGGGCCTGCCCGGTGAGTGTGACCTCAGCCTAGGTGGGGGAGCTGCCCCTCGGGGACCAGGCACCAGGGTCACCTGCTCTCACTCCACCCTCCATGGTGGGAATCTGCTCCAACCTGTCTCCCTTCCTCTTCCCCTGCACCCCAGGACCCTCGGACACACAGGCTGGGCACCCCACCCCCACACACCCTTGGCCTCCATTCTACCAAGGCTGCATGAGGAATCTGATGGTGAACCGGGCCTTTGTCACCTTGCCGCGCTCTGCGGGTGTCCAGGGCGCGGTGGGGGCCAGTGGCTGCCCGGCCACATAGGAGGACCTTCAGGGCGCCTGCTGTCCTAACAGCTTGCTGACACCACCACCCTCCGCCAGTCTCCTAGATGAAGTTTGTATAAACTTACCTAGACTTGAGTCTACAGGAAATGGTTTAAGTTATGTCTGACTTTTTAAATGAAACTTTAAAATACAATAAAATGGGTTTTTTTGTATCATTTATAATTGTGAGATTTTCCTTCCATCAATTTGAGAAATCTGTAAATCACTGGTCCCTTCTCTTGAAACAAAAATTAAAAAGGAGCTTATGTAACTGAGTGTCAACTTTTTTTTTAACACCTGTTTTCTCATTCTTGTTTAAAGTATTACATGTCTCCTTTCCCCCACTGACCTCTCCCCGTGGTTCCCACCCCCCGCACATGCCCTATGAGTGTTGACTTTTAAATGTAGAAAGAGGGACAGCACGGGACAGGTGGGGAGAGCCTGGGGGGTGGGCGGGGCTCATGGTCCACCTCCCCAGGCCTTTCACCTCAAAGTCACAATACCCAACACCGCAGACCAAGGGACAGCTTGTCACAGGGACGGGGCGCAGAAACACCAGAGTTGGCAGATAAAAGAAAAAACTTTTATTTATTAGCAAGTTAGAACAGAGGTGTGAGGGTGTGCGACGGCCCACAAACACACTGCTCGTCCACACAGCCAGGAGCCCCGCCCGTAAAAGACAGCAAATAACTTAATCTAAGCTCATGTCCTCCTCTTCGTCCTTCTTGTCCTTCCCATCGCCCTCCTTCTGCTCCGATCTGGCACTGTTCTGCATCGCTTTGGCAAAAGCTTCCACATCTACAACGCATTGAAAAGCCTGAGGCCAACTTCCTGGGCCTTGGGGACAGCCAGCCCTATGTTGTGCAAACAAGGAGGCTTGTGCCTTTCACCACAGGACGCCAAGTCCTGCCATAGCAGCAGGCGGAGGAGCAATACTTACCACCCTTGTTGGCGGCCTCCACGGCCTCTGCAGGCAGGCCAAACTGGCACATGAGGGGGCCCAGCTGCCCTGAGGCCAAGGCCGCACTGAACATGCCCAGGGCCTGCAAAGAAGAGCCAGACGTCTCTGAGCAAGCACGGGGCGGGGCCACGGACAGCAGGCCAGGGACTCTTGGTGATGGGCGCCGAGGTAAAGACAGGCAGCTGGGCCGCGGCATTACCTGCTGGAACTGGGGGGAAGTCAGTGTGTTCTGGATCTCCTCTGCGGTCTGTGGCAGCGACTCCCCAGAGGGCAGGTAGGGTAGCAGGCGCTCCTGGACGTCAGCGTTGGCGAGGATAGGTGCCATGATCTCGGGCGTCAAGACACTGGCCAGGTCAACTAGGACGCAAGCACACGGCCATGAGGGCTGAGGCCGGCCCAGGTGCCCATTCGCAGGGCTGCGACGAACTAGGCTGTGCTCTGCTGGGTGCGGTGTGACGAGAGATGAGGGAGCAACGGCAGCCCATGTGTAGGACGGCAGCTCGGCCCAGGGACACGCTCGGCTGTGCCTGGGGAAGCCAGTGGGCAGGGGGCAGCGGGCACCTTCACCCCTGGAACCGAGGCGCGTTACCTTGCTGGCTGCCTCCTGGCCCGGCCGGCACGTTCATAGTGGCTAGAATGTTCTGGAGGTCGCTCAGCTGGATGGGCTGGGTTGGGCTGGCTGCCGTGCTGGTTCCATTACCTGGATTGGGCGTGGGACTCGGGCTGGTCACCGAGGCAGCTGCTGGAGCAGAAGGGGCTGGGGTGGCTCGGGCAGAAGAGGCGGTGGAGGACGGGGTCACCGCTGCTGACTGGCTCCGGGAGCTGGGAAGAGCAGGGCAGGTGGAGCCGCCAGGCGCCCACATAGGTACCCTCACCACGTTGGTCCTGCCCCAAAGGCCCTGCACCGGGAAGAACCTGGGCTATGAAAGGACCCTCCCAGAAGCCCACTTTGTCCTGCATCTCCTCTGTCCAGTCTTCTTTTTTTTCAAAAGCCACTCAGAAGGCATTCTCTCCTTCTGACTCTTCCATTAGGAAGAGAAGAACGAGCATCAGTGGCTAATGGCAGCTGCAGAAGCAAGCCAAGAGGCGGCTTCACGCTCTGGAGAGAACGCTGCGCCTCCTCATGGTTTCGGGTGCTCTACACGTTCAGAGAAACTTCTCCAGTAACGAACTATAGGAGTGAGCCCTGAAAGCAGTCTTGTGCCCAGTCCTCTTGAAGAAGGGCACTCACTCCTGGTGGCACCCGAGGGTGCAGCAGGGGCAGGGGCAAGGCTCACCTGGATGAGGAGCTGCTCGCCGGAGGCCCTCCACTCCCCAGTAAGCTGGCCAGGCCTGGCCCAGTCAGGGCCCCCAGCCCACCTACGAGGAGCAAGGAGACGCACGCTCAGATGTCACTCACCTGGAGCGCCCGCCTCGCCCACCAAAGCAGCAGAAATGCCCCGCACGGAAGTCAAGGGACGAGCAGGGGGAGGTGTGGACCCTGTGAGCGGGTGGTGCCTGCTCAGATCAGTGTTCTGGAAGCCAATTCCTAAGTCAATGCCTCTGTTCCGTTCATTACGCTTGGGGTCAAGGTAATAGCAGCGCAAATCCAGCAGAGAAGTGCATCCTAGCTGTCTGTGAGACACACCCACCCAAACCCCGAAGGTGGCAGCAGGCCCCTCCTCAGCCGGCCAGGCTCCCCTGAGCCACACAGCGGGGTCCTCACTGGGGGCCCTGGAAGGCCTTGCCCACTCGGCTCCCGCTCAAACCAGAAGGCTCACAGGCCCTCCTCCAGAGAAGGCAACGCAGGGAACACATAGACACCACTCAGCCAAACAGGAGCTTAAAGGAAACGGACTCCAAGGCAAAAGCAACCACAAGCTGAAGGTTGTCCGAATTAAAACAAAGGCCCCGGGGCCAGAGGGCGTTACCCAGTCCTCCGAGGCCGGCGGGTCCGATGAGCTGCATGAGCTGGCTGTGGCTCATGTTCCCCAGCAGGCTCTGCAGGCCGCCCTCGCCTGGAAGACAGAGGTGCTCAGGTCAGGGCCCGCCTGCGCCCGCCCGCAGTGCCTCGGGAAGGTGCTCTGGGAAGGGCTCATACTGCTGGCGCCTCCAGGCGAGGAGGAGCTAAGCCCGACAGCCCAGGACTGCCCCTCCATGAGTGCTGCATGAAATGAGTCGGTGGGTGAGTCTCTGACATTGTTCTCGCCTATGAGGATGGGAGTGGGGACCTGGGAAGGGTTTCTACCTGGGACTCCTCACTTGCACTTAAGACAGCTGGTCTGAGCCACGGCCAGGGACTCAGTGGCTAGAGCACCACCCCACGAGGCCAAGATGGCGAGTGTGATCCCTGGTCAAGGCACATGAGGACCCACCAGTGAGCGCACAAGAGCAGCAGCAAGCAATGCTTCTCTCCCCTTCCCCCGCTCTCTCAAATCAGTTTTAAAAAACCACAAATGGTCTGCATCATCAAGGGCCATCTGACACCTCCTGGGACCTCTGAGCACACCCGGGGGGAGGGGAGCATTACCGCCCAGTGCAGACAGCTCATGGCCTCCACTCCCGCTTGCCCCCAGTGCTCCGGGCATCGGTGGGTTGTTCAGATACTCGTTGACTTTCCGGCAATGCTCCTCGTCCTGGTCCGTCTTAGGCTCCTGTGGGAGGACAGGACAACAGCCGCAGCTGAGCAGCCCGCCCACCACAGACCAGACTTACAGATGAGGGACCTAGGCTCAGACAGATGAAGTCACTGTCCACGTTCCCATGGCACCAGGGAGAAGACCCAGCAGTCCCATACGACGGACGTGCCTGTTACAGACAAAAGCACTAAGAACGCGAGTCGTGCCAGGGCAGGTCCCGGCCTGCAGGCCTGAGGCTTCCTTCGACCATAGACAGCCCCAGGCCCTTCCTTCAACACATGCACTCGATGAACTGACCTCTGCCACGGCAGTGCCCACACACCACACCCGGCCCAGGCCCCTCGGGGTCAACAGGGCCCCACAATGAGCCCCTCCCAGGGTGTGATGGGGTCATCGGGCATGCGACCCTGTCAGTGCCCAGAACTGCCAGACAGAGCGCCCAGATGGATCTGTCCACAGCCACTGGGCATGTGCTTGTGTGGGGACACAGGGACTCAACAGGCGCGCAGGAGGAGAGATGTCAAATGAGCAAAACTGGTAAAACAGCTAGTGTGAGGCGAACCTCTGACAAGATTTCTTGGCAAAACTGGAGAAACAAGCTCTGCCCCAGCGGCTGCAAACCTCAGCCCCGTCTGAGTCTGCAAATGAAGTTGGATTGGAGCCGGGCTGCGCGCCCAGGCATGCTCTCCCTGTCCCGGCCACTTCCCCGCTGCTTCGGCACAAGTGAGCAGCTGGGCCCCCCAAGAGGAAACCCTTTCCCACCGGCTCTCCACGTCCAGACTCTGGGGGGGAACATGTTGACACCTGTCAAAACTGCACACGTGTGCCCACTGTACCAGCAAGCCATTCCTCCATTTTAGCACACACATTACCCTCACACACACAGTAACCGGCACAAGGCGACTGTCACGGCACTGCCTCGAGCAGAAGCAGCCAAGACATGGCAACAGCCGGACTTGGTGGAGGACGGCCTACAGCCGTGGGCACGCGTGTGTGCTGACCCCAGGACTCTAGAGCACTCCATTAGGGGAGCGGGAGGCTCAGAGAGCTCGGAGAGAACACTGCATTGGAGACTATACACCGTCATCCTGGCTTCTGCCCTGGGGTCCTCGTGACCCTTGAGGGGGCACTGGGGACAAGCAAACCACAGGCCAAGTGCCCATCAAGGCCCTGATGGAGCCTAGCCTGGAGTCACCCATCTGCTGCCAAGGCATTCCACCCCTTGAAAGGCACTCAGGGCCACACAGGGGACTCCAGGCTCCGCGGCAGCATGTTGGTCAGCCCCGCTGGTTGTGGAAGCCAATTCTACCATCTGGCGAGCAGGTTTCTAACCTAGCTCTAAGACGAGGAGGAAAGAAAACATGAAAACAAAACCTACACACCTGCATCCAGAAGAAGAGCCGTTTGGACCCTGCCTTGAACTTGAGCACGTAGACCCTCCCGCTGGGGCACTGCGGCACGCGCTTGAACTCACAGTCGTCAGGGAAGATGATCAAGTCCTGCAGAGCCACAGGAGGGGAGAGTCATGGTCCCGTGACACATCAAGCCCCCGAGCCTCCCAGGAACACATGCTGGGCTGTCTCAGCGTGTAGGGCGGGGAGGAGGGCGCAGGGCCAAGACCACCCTCCTCACCAGCAGGGTCTCTCGGGGCGGATAAGCCAGGGTCAGAGGCACCCAGGAAGGAGAAGCGCTTGCGGGCCAGGCGCAGGCCTGGTGCTGAACAGGGAACTCGGGCTCGTGAAGGATTTTTTAATAGAAACATCGTGGGAACATTCCTAGATGAGTCAAAAAGCCAACTCTGACCTGCCCTTGAACCTAACACAGAACAATTTAGTCTGAAGGACAAAGAACACTAAGTAGAATGACCACTGGAGGGAGCTGTCTGGTGGGCTGGAGTAAAGGCCAGGACTTTCACATGGCTTCGCCCACTCTAGTACCTAATCTTCAAAGTTTAAAGTATATAGAGTGACGCCCGGCTGGTGTGGCTCAGTGGTTGAGCATCGACCTATGAACCTGGAGGTTACAGTTTGATTCCTGGTCAGAGCACACGCCTGGGTTGAGGGCTCGATCCCCAGTGTGGGGTGTGCAGGAGGCAGTCGATCCATGATTCTCTCTCATCATTCGTGTATCTCTCTCTCTCTTTTCCTCTGAAATCCATAAAAATGTAATAAGTAAATAAAGCATATACAGTGACGGGAGAAACCTATGTCATCAGTGGGACTGGGAAGACCGATAAGCACATCAAAACAGCTCATGGGCAGCCAAACAGCAACGCCATACACCCCACCCACGGCCTCACGGTGATGCTGCCACTGCCAGTGGCCGCCCAGAGGGCAGAGACTCACGTCTTCCACGTTCCCAGACGTCCTGTCTTTCCAGCAGAAGTGAATGAGGGAGTCATCCATCTGCTGAATGTACACGAGCCCTTTTCTTTTGTCTGGGGTGACAGTTGTTCCTTTTAATGACATTTTTCCTGCCCGAAACTCCACCAGATACTTGTTGGAGGACCCACGGGAGCCTGGCACCAGGCTTGGAAACAGCGCGCCTGAAGTCGCCATCCTGAAAGAGGGCCAGCAGTCACCACTCAAATGCCGGTGGGCACCGACCCAGTGAACGCGCCCTCGCCAACCCTCCGGGCTCTGCTACGCTGGGCGCCAGGGAGCACCCCAAAGCTGACAGAACCCGCTCAAAACACGGCGGGGGGGCAGGCTCGGAGCCTGCGGGCACCTGAGCAATGGAGCCAACACCCACGTCTCACGTTTCTCAAAGAAGAAATTACTCTCGGCACGCTCAGCGCTCGCTGCGCGGCCACTTTCTGTACTTGCAAACTTGTTCCTTAGTCTGGGACCCCCGCCCCCAAGAATTTAAAAACTTGGACGGGACACGCTAACATCAGATGGGACGCAAGGCTTTGGCCTAACGCCTGATCTCTGTCGGACACGGGCCCGCGGAGCTGCAGGTGTGCACCCTCCAAACACAGAAAGTCTGCGGGGTGCACGGCCCGCCCCACCCCGCACACCTG